GAAAACTAGTAGTAGCGGCTGTCGATCGAAATTCATCGGCAGTCGCGCATTCATGTCGTTTACATGTTTACGATAACAGATTAAATTTAAACTTTTTGATTGATTCGGGCTCGGATGTTTCATGTGTGACACCGACTTCTAAGTTTAAGAAAATGCATCCTGATTCGCTTCAATTATTTGCCGCGAATAATTCCAGAATTTCTACGTATGGAACAAAATTGTTAACTGTGAATTTAGGACTTAGACGAAACTTTTCTTGGAAGTTTTTAATCACCGATGTACCAGTGCCTATAATAGGAGCCGACTTTTTAAGGCATTTTGATCTTTTAATCGATTTAAAACGAGGTAGGCTTATCGATAATACTACGAAATTAACTCGTATTGGTTCTCTTTCCGATTCTAAAAATTATTTTTCGGTAAAGTTAATATCTGGTGATTCACCATATCACAGAATCTTGAAAGACTTTCCTAAAGTACTGAAGTTAAAATCCGATTCGGGTAGAGTAAAGCATAGTACGGTTCATTACATCGAAACATACGGTCCTCCTGTGCACAGTAAACCGCGTAGGTTAAGCCCTAAGTTATACGAAGCAGTAAAAAAAAGAATTTCAATTTATGATAGATCAAGGTATTTGTAGACCATCAAAATCAGCATGGTCATCACCTCTTCATGTAGTTTCTAAAAGTTCGGGTGACATACGGCCAGTAGGAGACTACCGAAAACTAAACGCGTGCACCGAACCCGACAGATACCCTATCCCGCATTTACAAGACTTTAATAATACGCTTAGCGGAAAGACAATTTTTTCAAAAATTGATATCGTTCGGGCATATCATCATATACCGAAAACTGCAGTTTGCACCCCATTTGGTCTTTTCGAATTTCCGTTTTTAAATTTCGGACTGTGCGGAGCAGCTCAAACCTTTCAAAGGTTTATGAACGAAATTCTTGGAGATCTAAAATTCGCCTACGTCTACTTAGATGATATTTTGATATTTAGTGATACGGAAGATGAGCATAAATCTCACCTACGTACTGTTTTTGAAAGATTAACTTCATATGGATTGACAATTAACGCTTCGAAATGTGTTTTCGGCGTTCCGGAAATATCTTTTTTAGGCCATATAATCAATAAAGATGGTACCAAGCCTCTGACGAACAAAGTGGAACCGATACTTAACTACCCACTTCCTAAAACGGTAAAAGATTTGCAGAGATTTTTAGGATTTTTAAATTTTTACCCAACGTAGCCCAGAATCAAATACATTTAACTTCGTATTTAAAAGGGGCTAAGAAAAATGATAAGACAATCCTGAATTTGTCTGAGGAAGCGCGGAGTGAATTTCAAAAGTGCAAACAGCTAATCGCTAATGCTGTTCTTTTGGCACACCCGAAGAAAGATGCCCAGTTGGTTTACAGGTTGATGCGTTTCAGACTTCGCGATCGGTCGGTGGAACGCTATCACAAATAGTTGATAGAAATTTACAGCCTCTCGCATTTTTCTCACGAAAGCTTTCGCAGGCGGAAAGGAACTATAGTGCGTATGATCGAGAGCTATTGGCAGCTTATGCTGCTATTAGGCATTTTAAGCATATGTTGGAAGCACGGAACTTTTCTTTAATCACCGATCACAAACCGCTCACGTATGCATTCCGACAGCGTTTGGATAAGTGTTCACCTCGTCGGCTAGGCAGTTAGACTTTATCTCACAATTCACCACTGAAATTCGCCATATAAAAAGGTTCGGAATAGACGTACTTTCGCGTATAGAGAAGCAATAAGCATGCCTAACCCTATCGACTATGAGGAAATCGCTAAAATGCAAGAAATCGACCCAGAATTACAAACATTGCTTAAAGAGTCAAAAGTTCTACATCTCAAAAAAGTTACCTTACCGAATTGTAGCTTACCGATATATTGCGATGTGTCAACAGGTAACGCCCGTCCTTACATTCCTCCGGCATTCCGTGAGAAAGTTTTTGCCACCTTGCACAATTTGTCTCACCCCGGCATTCGCGCATCAACAAAGTTAGTATGTTCACGGTTTGTTTGGTCTTCCATCCGCAAAGATTGCGCGAAATGGGCACGGCAGTGCATTCCGTGCCAGAAAGCAAAAGTAAGCAGGCATACTAGAACCCCGTTAATGAAGTTTCCAGACCAATCACAGAGGTTTGATCACGTCCACCTTGACCTTGTTGGTCCCCTACCTCCTTCTCAAAATAATTATTACTGTCTAACTATGATAGATAGATTTACTAGATGGCCCGAAGCAGTACCCATACCAGACATAACAGCACGCACAGTAGCACAGGCTTTCTATGACCACTGGATTACTCGATTTGGTTGTCCGACTGTTATTACTACCGACCAAGGGCGACAGTTTGAAAGCGGCTTATTTCGAGCCCTTTCCCAATTATTGGGAATCAAGAGGATCAGGACGTCTCCGTACCACCCACAGGCGAATGGACTGATCGAGGAATTCCACCGTCCTTTGAAAGCTGCCTTAAAAGCGCACGATACCAGTGACTGGGTGGCTGCCCTTCCAACGCTGCTGATGGGTTTCCGCGCCGCTCTCAAAGAGGACATAGGAGCAACCACTTCTGAACTGGTGTATGGAAAGACTATCCGTCTCCCAGGAGAATTTTTCAATCCGACACCTCCGGATGCGTCCCCCAAACAGTTTGTGGAGGATTTAAAATCTCACTTTGCCAGTGTCCGCCCGACCACGACTTCTAGCCACGGCCAGCGAACATGTTTCATTCATCCACGCCTTCACAAGTCCACATATGTGTTTGTTCGACACGACGGAGTTAGAAAACCACTTCAAACTCCTTATGATGGACCATTTAAGGTGCTAGAAAGACGAGATAAAAACGTTTGATCTCGAAATAAAAGGGACTAAGCAAACGATCTCCATAGATAGACTGAAACCCGCTTTTTGTAACCATGGACTCTTCTCAAGTTGCTTCCAAGAGTGTGAAAAAAAACTTCGGACATTTGTATCACCCGTTCTGGACGATTAATCCGACCCCCGCATCGGTATGTCACATTTCGTTGACACTGCGGAGGGAGTATGTATGCAGCGGCAGCGCCAAAACAGGCGATACGGACTTAAAAACTCTGTACAGAAAAGCGCCAATTGGCGAAACAGTAAACCCGTTTGGCAAACCTACAGGCTGACGGGAGAGAAGAATTTTCCCCGGCAGTCAAGTGGAACTACTTCAACAAATGTGTGCGTCTCTGCTTCGCCGAAATATGTGATCTTGTGTACTCGCATCTGTACTGTGCTCTGAATTTCTTAAGCCGTTATAATGTACCCGGCAACTGTTACTTTTCCTTATTAAATTTGATTATTAATTGTAACATGTCTATCTTAACTAAGATTTCGGCTTTCCTAGTTAATGTTAGGGATATTTTCGTATGCACGTGTTACTCACACGTACATCAATGCCAATGCTGTCAAAAATAATTACAGTAACCCTAATGCAAGAAAGGAAACATAATAGTAAATAACTGCCTAAGATTATTGTTTTAGTACAGATGAAAGGTTAATTTCATGTAAATACATTTTTTGTTATTATAATTTACAAACAAAATGCTAAACATAACTGAAATTAAGTGTACGATATAATAGCGTCTGTACATAAACTTGGACAAATGATCAAAATGCTCTCGAGCATTGCGACTTTTATTATGCCATTTAGCACTGCCCCACAGCTTCTCTACTGTTTGTCTATGACACTTACTTTCGTGGTCCAAAAAATTGTAGTTGCGATTGATAGTAAAATGTTAAAAACTAGCATTTTGCAGTTCATCCGACTGGCATGACTTCAAGCAGTCAGTATAAACCAATGCTTCCTTCTACAATATTTTCTTTTATGACGTTCAATAAAATTTTCGTCAATCGTTCTGGAACAGCGATTAAGAAGAAACATTAATTCGTTTCTTTGCATAATCCGCCAAAAACACATTCTGGTGGAAGAACCCGTTCAACATTATTCTTTCTTCTACTAAAAAGGCTTCTGTCTACTTCAACAATTTTGCCCCATCCGCCGATTTTCGAGCAATGCCGAGTAAATAAAGTTGCGGCACACACTTCACGCATGTAACTGTTCCAGTCTACAGTTGAACTGTAGTTCATCTTCAGCTGGAGTTCACAAAATTCAATAGATTTAATCTCCTGACACCAAAAATAGATGAACCTAACGGTTGTACGTAAGGAGATTTTCGTTCCTTCAAACTAATTCTGACTTCTTAATCCTTTCTTCTCATTACAGGTTTCTTTTCTGCACCTCTATTTTGCTACGAAGCTACCGCTAAAGCATAATTTCATCTTGTGGTTGTTCGAACATAATTTTCTATCATAAATGATGCCTGCTCTTTGAAAAATTTCCATTGCAGACTTTCGTCATTCGGAAATTCCCAAATTGTTAAACCCATAGTCTTATTAGAAAAGAATTAAAAAATTGAACTAGTGTTTCAATGGTGACTTATAAATATAGAACTAACTAAATTTACGCACTTCGGCACATTCACTAGATTTGGCGAGTTTGCGCATATATTTTCGCTGCAATATTTTACGGTCCCTAAAACAGAATAGTACCAAAATGTCAATGTAAAAAAAAAAAAAAAAAAAAAAAGATTAAATGCCAATCATATATGATAGCTTAAGTAAAAATCTAAAATGGAACCAAAAATTATGACAATGGGGTTAAAAAAAAATTTTTTTTTTTTTTTTAATTTCTATTTCTAATGTTTAGGCTTAGCAATGCAAAAGCCATGTCCTGAGGGAGCATCTTGAACAAAAGCATGCCATCTTGAAAGGATTCAGTGACCAACATCTCTGATAACATCAATATTGATTACTTCTACAAAAATTGGAAATCATTTAGAACCATTCAACCTGAGATGTTTATCTTAGAATGAAGTCTCAGTAATTTAGCTTCTCAAATCCTAGCTAAATAAAATAATGATGTATGTTTTCAAACAAAACAATTACCTTGTCTTTTATCACATCTAGATTTGGCAGGTTATTAGGTTTACATAATGACATAGGTTGAGACTGCAACTGAAGAAGAAAGTCCCTGTCATACTGTTTCTTCCCTTCAGGATTTAGAGGGCTCCACTGATCTAAATAGGAAGGGGGGAAAAATACTGCTTAATTAAAAGGCAACAGTTTCATTATATATTAAAAAAAACTTCCATAATGTTAGCTTAATTTCTTTTTAATAAATGGATTTTATTTTTTGAAAAATGTTACATTTTACACCTGCCAAAGCTTTTTTCATCGTACATATTTTTACTGAGAGTATACTAAATACTTAAGAGTGTATACAAAATCAGCTGTAGTTTAAACAGCCTCAAATGTAAGGTATTAAAAGAACAGATCTTTTAACACACTTATTTCTTTTACTTCTATATTACAATAAACATTCACTGAAAAAAATATACTTCATAAAATCACAGCTTAGCATGCTGTAAGTTCAAATTTCATACCAAAATAATTTATCAGCAACAGTAATTTACCTGAAACTATAGTTTTAAATCAAAATGCATATCTTTGATATCAATTAAACACATTTATTAGGCTGCAACATCAGAAATGTATTAATAATGCATTTCACATCATTTCTTATCCACAAAAAAGTTTGGTATTATACTTTATACCTATATATAATTTAAGTATAAAATAGATAAAAGTGAATTTAAAGAAAAAGTTAAAAACAATCACATATGACACACATTACAATTTTATGAAACTAAATGTTTCTAAGAATCCCAGGGAGAAACAACAGATATCCATTTACAAATTTGTTTTCATTAAATAAACTCTAAAATATTATAGAGATTTTTTTAAAGAGGCACTCTTATACTAATTAGCAAGATTTATGTATTAACTATAGATCTTATGATGTTCTGAATGACAACACTATCAGAATATTTAATATTTACTGGGAGAAAAAGCATCATTTTACTAAACTTTAAAATTTTTCTTAATTTTTTTTAAAGAATTACGTACCATTCTTGCAAAAAAAGCTGACTAATAAATATTTCTTTTTTGCTAAAGTGCAGACTTAAAAACATTTTGAGGTGATACCTAAAATACTAAACATATGTAGAACTTTTTTTATTAGTGCATAATTTTAATCTCCCAGTATTCAGGTCCTCAGAAAGACTCCATTAAGCATAACATTATTATAATTTCTCTTTTTATGATTTGATATTTCAACTACTGTTACATAACTTGCACTTAATATCTGTTTAACACAAACAATCTTCAAGAGACATAAGACATTTCAAAAGAAAAATCTTAACATCTCAAATCTTACCCCACCCGCCGAATGTGTACAACTGCTAAATTTTTCATTATCATAAAAACTGCAAATAGAAATAAAGCCTTATGTTGCAGTTAAAATCAAAAATTACTAAGTACATAAGTGCAATTACTGTAGATTACAAAATGTTAAAATAATGAAACATACTTTCACATATTCTTCCATTTCCAAAAAATAAAAGGCGAAAAAAATTTGAATTTTTTTTTCTAAAACTTACCTTCTTTATAATTATATTTCAAAACTATTTTGCTTTGTGCATCTTCAGATATGTTTTCTTTATCCTCGCTTTCTGCACTAGGTGAAACTGAAGACGTTTCACTAGTAGGCTCACTTGGGAAAATATCATTCTGAGGTGTTGACACAGCTGAGGTTTCCTCAGGAAGGGGTATGGAGCTTAGTATTTCACTGTCAACTATGGTAACAGGAGATGGAATTCTCTCTTCAGATACAGGGGAGACAGATGTAACTGGTGGTGGAGCAGGAACTTGAGATGCTACAGATGTCACTTCCTATTACAATTAAAATAACATTATACAAATATTTCTTGATTTACATAAAAAAAAAAAAAGCTCGGTTTTGCTGTGTCCTTCATATTATTTTACACAATATTTTAATTTTTAGTTTGACAGATATATATTAAAAACACAAACAAGAAATGTGACTAACACCAAAGAATAAATATAAATAAAGCAAACATTTTGGTCCATTAATAAATGTAAAAATATCAGGAAAGCTGAATTTGTGGGCAAAATAAAAAATGTTTGTAATTATTTGAAAAACTAACTCTTAGAATGACACATCGTTAGATTATTGTTCTTAGGAGATTTTATACATCAGCAATTAACATGTTACTGATCACTGGCGGTTCGACAGCATATGCATGTCCAACCTGCCGCTCAGCCGCAGATTCTCCCTGTCCTCCAACAGGGTTCATAGGCACATTTTAGTTAAAAAAATAAGCACCTATAAGCACTTTTCAAGCACATTTTAAGAAAAAAATAAGCACCTGTCTAATTACATTAGACACAGCTGCATAACCTTAAAAATTAAGACTTTTAATTTACAATACGAGAAATGCAGTATTTATTAAGAGAGAATAAGCATTACCTCATGGAAAATAATTACTTTTTAAAAAAAAATTTAAATAACAGTTCAATTTACAGAACTAGTTTACAATGAGAGGGGGAAAAAAAAAAAACCTATGCAGAACTAAACTATATTACAAGATTCAATGATGAAATTTCAGTTCAAAATAGAGAAAATAAATAATAATAAGGCATATTTATTGCATTCGCTTGGAACCTAATAATAAATACAATTTATTTTTCCACTCCTATTGATATTTAAATAATTTAAATCTAAATTCTGAACATTTTCTAAATTTTCATTGTATATCAGTTTTCCCTTAACAGATATTGCAAGCAAAGTAATTTAAGTAAAAAAAAAAAGGAACATTTCTGAAATCAGAAGACAGAAACTTGCTTCATGCAGTCATCCTTTAACAGTAAAACCTCAACTAACCCGCATATTGCCGAATATTCGGACAGTCGAGCGTAACTTGAAAAAGAGGAGCGAAGGGGGGGTACACTGTAGCCGCTCTTTAGATTTTTCCACTAAATAAGTGCTTTTGACATTTCGATTTGTGCATCATATAAAAATAAACCAATGGAACTGAAAAATATTCTGCTTAGCAAGCAAAGTAAAACTCTTTTAAATGTTCATAAACAAATCTCAGACAGAACATCAAAATTAATTATCTTCCCTATGTGGTATTACGCAATCGGAATCAACAGCTGCCGGTATTGGGAGAATAAAGAAGTAAATAACTGGAGCGTGTTCATTCTAATTTTCAACACCCGGCGTTAAATTTACAGAATAGAATCATTCTTCGCTTGGGTTGGTAGACCGCAGAACTTTTAGTCCTATTCAATCCAGATTGGAAAGTGATAAAAAAAAAAAGTCCGTTGCTTGTTTTGCAGCGAACTTGTAACAGTTTCAATATTCGAGATTTTGCGGAGAAAGGGGAGAACCTCCCAATCTTCATACTGTATAATGTATTGACCAAAAAAATTAAATTATTTTGACTATTTCGATTACTTTCCCTTTATTTAAGCCATTCCGAATATTATTCCTTAAAAGCTAATCTGTGTGTTTAAAACACAACCATTTTTGGAAGTTTACTATACTTCAGCAGTTACTGCAATTATGTTATTATAAACATTCATACATATGCTCATAATATAAGCATAACGATCATAATAAACACGAATATGAACTGACCAAGCGGAACGAGAATGCAAATTATTGAGATCTTGATAGAAATTCAAACGTGGTAGTATTTGGGTGGGAGGAAAAGAAGCCGAATGTACCGGAATTTTCTAAGAATTTCTAAGGTCGAATTTTTTTTGAATTTCTAAGGTAAGCAATTCTTTGACCAATAGAACGACGGGCACCTGTCTGTACTCTTCGTGCATACCAAAGGTTATGTTAATGCAGAGAAAGGGCAAAAAACTATTTCCGGGAGTATGATTCACCATCTGACATTCCATATTAGGAAGAAAAGTTGTTTATTTAGTTTCGGCTTTGGTACGGGGAAAAATAGCACGTTCATTAAAAAAAAGCACTAAAAGCAAAAAATAAGGGCTTTAAAGAATTAAGTAAGCACCTATAAGGGCCTTTATATTTTATTTTCAAATATAAGGACTTATAAGGACCGCTACGAACCCTGTCCAATAACTGTCAGAACAATCTGATAAATCGTCTAAATAAAACTCTTCAGTACCCTTTTTTCGCTCATCGTGAACGGTAAATTGTTTTAAAAAGGTGTGATGATGTATGTGGTAGTTCATGAAGCAAAACACTTAACGCAAGTGAGCAAGTACCTCAATACTAGTAATAAAATGCAGATGATATAGCAAATGGCAATTGCTAATCGCCATGGCTACCGATTGATAGGCTATTTTTAGGTAGCCTCAAGGAAAAAGTGATTAATAGGCTGTCGGTCAGTAGGCGGTGATAAAAAGCCAATTAATAGGCTATCGGTCGGTAGGCATTGGCAATAAAAAGTCGATTAATAGGCAATCGGTTGGTAAGGTGTTAATGATGGCCATTTGTGACAGTAGATTTTTTTTTATCACAAACCGAAAATGACTTTAATTAAAAAAGGAAATTTTTCACTAAAGGCAACACTTTTACACTTCACACAGTTAATAACATGCAAATAATATATTTATATGCCATTTTTCAGGCATTTAATCATTTTATCAAAGGTTTTCTGTACTATTTGTCAATTACAGAAAATGATTTAAGAATCCAATCTCTGTAAATAGTTTAACATTAAAACACTAACGATTACATACAGTCAGTTCCAATCAATTGGACCACCAGTCAATTAAGACAGCTTCTATTTTGACAAAATTTCAAAGAACAATAATCAAACTAATACATAATTTAAATACTTCAATGGAACAATTCTCATTTAATTGGGAAAGTAACACAGAAGAAATTAAAAGATTGTGGATATATTTTAGACATTTTGCGATGTCTAAACACTACACACATTAAAATTTGATAAAATGATGCAAATCAGTTATCTATCATCCTACATCTCGCAAGAAAGTTACAATTTTAAAATCTTTTGTAAATTACCAAGAATTGAATGTACATAAGTAAGTTTCAATTTTATCCAGCAAAGCAAGTAAAATTGCTTTGCTGGATAAAATTGAAAGCCAGCTATTGAATACAAGCCATCATAGATTTGCTGTACAAAAATGTACCACAGTGTCTCTCTTACAATAAGAAAATCAGCGGTGTTAAGAAATGGATAGCATTACAGAAATAAATTCCACAATCATCCAAGCACTGAGAACTTGGAAGAAGCATTAGATTAAGTTTTGTATAGTTAGTATGGGATAGATATAAACTCCTCAGTGTTGGAGATTTTAAAAAGCTGGGCCACGATGATCTTAACCCTACAGGGGTAATGGATGTGAAATTCTATATAAAAGGATGGTTTCCATATTCATTTGCACATGAAAATTCCTGCCAGGTGCTAACTGATCCAATTTTCGGTTGGATGTACACTGGAAGAAAAGGAGTCAAGGGTACAATGTGATACAGTCATTTTCAAATTATAATCAAGAAAATAGCACTTATTCATGACATTTTAAGGAAATTTGAAATTCCATGGCCAAACCTGTAATGCACAGAGGGTTGTAAGGTTGGTTGGTTTGATAAAACAATATCACATTTTAAAAAGTGCATGATAAAAGGGGCAGTGCAGATATGAATGAAACTATGAGCAATGGCAAAAACTAAAATCACAACCTTTTTAAAACATTTCTGTTCAGAAGTTATTTACAAATTTCATGAAAACAAGTGCCTATTATTATGCTATGTCAGATAGCTAACGCCCATGCTATAATCACATTGCACTGTCAAGACATAAAAGGGCAATGGATGTTATTACAAGTATTATGCTTTTTATATTTGTGAGAAAACGAAAAAAATGCTTATCCTTGATACTTTAAGGTCTTAATAGAAAGTTTACCAGCAGAATAACATATCAATAGCAAAGTATGGATGACTTTCAAAATGTTTGGTACTCTCTTACAAGCAGGGATGTAGAAGTGCAATGTAAATAAATGAAAATTTTGCTGCTTCTCAATAATGAAGCTGCACACCCTTATTTAGATAATCTAAAAAGATATAAAGCTGAAATTACTTATAAGCAATATTCTTAGTGCAACCAACATACATGGAGACATAATAAAAAGTTTATAGATAATGTATCAAGGAAAACCGGTTAATGGCATAAAGAAATTCATTATTTATTTGTTAACAAGTTTATCAACAGCCAGAGAGAGAAGTGCAAAAATTTCCATTAGGGGGAAAAAACAATGATAGATATTTTTATACCTACCATTATGCATACTAAAAACCTTCAGTTTATAAGACACTGAAAATAAATATGTAATTCAGAAATAAACATATAAAATATACCTCTCCTTTAACCAAGAAAGCATCCATCTCTCCTCCCTCTTTGCTTTCTCCTTTTTTATTTAAATCTTTCTTCTTTTTAGTTTTATTTTTCTTACCTAAAGTAACAAAAAAATTGTCTAGCATCTGGAATGGCATTCACAACACTTAACCTTACAATAAATATTAAATTGAAGTATACAAAATCAATATACATACAGGTACTTTACAGCTCACATTTAGTTATAGACATGACTCAGTTATTTAACATTTTTTCATTAAGAGCTACTAGTTTTGTTTTTGCAAATTCTGCAATATACTTTAAAAAATACTTTATTAAATGTATATAATTACATTCGGCTTATCTTTGGAATATGGTAACTGGTAGTTTGGCGACATTTTGAAGGCAATAAAGGTTACTTACTACCTAGGACTTAGGTAATAATGTGAGAAGTACTCAGTTCCGATTATGCATTATTTTGTGTGAGGGAAATGAGAGATTATGAGATATGTCATGTGACATTAATGGACAAATTACAGTTTTTTAATTCGAAAAAGGGGAGGGAGGAATTTGGAAAACTGTAGTACTATATTATTTTGTATTAAGCTTCATTCTGTGTTGTGTGAAATAGTGGAAGTGTGCGTACCACGTAATGAAGATTCTGAAGATTAGGTAAGTTAGTATTTTTAATCATTTGAGGATATTATTTTTATGCATTGTTCTAAATGTAAGGAGTAAATAAATTAATATGATATTATTGGAAAATTGTTATTAGCAATGATTTAGTTTAAAGTAATTAGGATTGTAATCTAACATTTATTAATTTAATGTATGTGCTTATTTATATTTTAAATAGTGTTTTTTAATTAATTATTTTAATTTATGATTTGTGATTTTGTGAGTTATATGTTTGTAGTATTTTGGAATACGTTGAGTATTTTCATGCATTTTCATGAAATTTTTCTAATTTATGAGAAAAAAGCTGTGTACATGGATATAGTGAAGAGTGTGCCCAATAACATTTTTGTGCAATTCTGGGATTTTTTTTTAAGTAAAAATAAGTCAACGTGTACAAGGTTTAGTGATATTTTAATTAAATGATAGTTATTTTGTGAATTTTATGTTTGTAGGAATTTGGTATACGTTTCAGTTGAAGTAAACGTGCATGGAAGTAATTTAAATATTTGACACTAAGTATTTGTAACCATTTGCAATGTTTGCGGTATGAATTCGATGGTGATGTTTATAATATAATAGATATTTTAGAGGTAAAAGTTTTTGGATATTTTATTTTATACGTGGAAATGTTCATCTTTGGAAAGGGTATATACTTTTTGCGATCAGGTAATTTCAAATATGTTCTTTTTACCGGATTTAAAGATTCACAAAATTTTCATGCATTTTCGTGAAATTTTTCTAATTTATGAGAAAAAAGCAGTGTACATGGATATAGTGAAGAGTGTGCGCAATGCCATTTTTGTGCAATTCTGGGATGTTTTTTTAAGTAAAAATAAGTCGACATGTACATGGTTTAGGTGGTATTTTAATTTCCATGATAGTTATTTTGTGAATTTATGTTTGCAGGAATTTGGTATACGTTTCAGTTAAAGTAAACGTGTATGGAAATAATTTAAATATTTGTAACCATTTGTAATGTTTGCGGTATGAATTCGTTGGTGACGTTTATAATATAATAGATAATTTAGAGGTAAAAGTTTTTGGATATTTTATTTATTTTATACGTGGAAATGTTCAACCTTGGAAAGGGTATATACATTTTCGAGATCAGGTAATTTCATATATGTGCTTTTTACCGAGTATTAAAGATTCACAGAAATTTTTTGCATTTTCGTGCAAATTTTTGTAATTTATGAGAAAATAGCAGTGTAGATAGATAAAGTTAAGAGTGTATGCAATGCCATTTTTGTGCAATTCTGGGACGTTTTTTTAAGTAAAAATAAGTCGACGTGTAAATGGTTTATGTGTATGTGCTATTCTGAAAAACGCGCAAGGAGTTTGCGAATGTGCACTTTTCCCCAAGTTTGCAGTTAATATTTGTCATGATTAAGCAGTTTTGTTACATAGAATTTCTAGCATTAGTGTAATTTCGGCTAGTAGATTGTTGGAAAAAGTGTTCAGTAAACAAAAAGAAAAGAAACATGTCTTTACTTCGTGAAGACAAAATGGCGGCGAAAAAAAAATAGAGGGTTGCTGTAGCAGAGTTGGTCGCCAAATTTTCGCAAAAAATTTAGTGGTATTTAACCATGTACACGTCGACTTATTTTTACTTAAAAAAACATCACAGAATTGCACAAAAATGGCATTGCGCACACTCTTGACTTTATCTATGTACACATCGACCTATTTTCACTTAAAAAGTCATAGAAAATTGACAAAAATCCAATTCTTACTCTTGTAAAAAGCGCCAAACAAATAAGTGGGCGATTCTGCACTTTAGCAGCGAAATTGTTTCTAAGTGCTTATTAGCTACAATCACGATCGGAATTTTCCGGAAAATGTCACATACATGTCTCATAATCTCTTATTTCTCTAAGACAAAATAATCTGTGATTCGAACCGTGTACTTCTCAGATCTCTTTACAGTAGTACACAGTACATTTGTAGAGTACACAGTTCTCATTCGAACTGTGTACTCTACTAAAGTCCTAGCTAGTAAGCTTTATCGCCTTACCAAAATATCGCCAAACTACCTGTTACCATATTCTAAAGATTAGCCATCAATTCAATAATACAAGATAAATATTGATATTTAAATAAACAGCATTTTTGATACATTATCAAACACACAGATTTTCTTCACCAAGTGGATTATTTTAAAATTCAGAAATAACACTGAATATGAGATGATAATGAGGAACAACTACGTATATTAGGAAAACAAGCTTTACTAGTATTTGCACAAATCTAACAAAGATCATAGAATATGCAACTATTTGGCATTCAATGTAGGCATAATACTTTAAAACACATAACTGTGTAGCCATAATATTCTAAAACAGAGAATGCCACCCTCCCGAAAAATTATGCAAATGAGAGACTTATAATAGTCATTTACAAACATGCATCAGACATGCATTTACAAACATGCATGTTGCCAAACAGTCAGATGTAACACTAGTAATGAATAAACACGACATTACAAAACAAGCATAATCTCTTCACCTTGGTTTTATGTAAACCCGATTAATTCTCGATAAATCAGTTTAGTTTTTGAAAACAAATACCAATTTACGGTACTTGAGTACTATCCCATCAACCATGAAAATTAGCTACCATCAAAGTTGTGCCAATAGTTCATACGGAATTCTGAAGCAATAAAAGCCTGTTTATTATTAAACAATCAGTATTCAAACTGCATTTTTTAAAAATTTCATAAAAAGGCTTTCATTTATTTCTATTATCTTGTTAAGACTCTCTGATTTTAACTGGATGTTCTGCTTAGATTGCTACAAGTGGTACTGTTCTGCTATAGGAACCAGATTTAGAAATGAATGAAAGTATGCACATGTGTATGTATGTGCATATATGTGTGTACATACATTCATATTAAATATAGACATACATGAACACATCCATACAATTCTGAAGCCAGTCCTCATAACAGAATAGTACCATACAAGCTTTTATATATAATTATAATCCTATAACTGTTTTGTTAGCCATATGATATGCATTAATAAACACTTTTCTGCTGAAGATCTGATCTACTGAAGGGTAAATAATCTTGAAAATAATCTACTGCTTTCTGTTATGAAGAAGGCAGGTTCTAAATTTTAATCATGTTTTCAAATCGCAAGGAGATACAGAAACAGTTAATTTACATGTTTGTGCATAAAAACATAAGGTGTTGTACCAAGAACTAATCAGGTTTACTACAAATAAAAGCACAGATGTTACGAATGCATTGCGACACCATGCCTATCCATTAACTGACACTAAATTGCATTGCTCGTCAATGGCTTTATGGCCTACAGCTATGATGTATGGATGACGCTAACCAACGAGATACAAAGAAGGCACTAACTCTCAATCACAGAGGCGGCAATAGTTCAGTTTTCCACGAGGCAGACCTAGTAAGAGGTCATAGGATAAAGGAAAAGCTCATGGGAGCCATTAGAGAAATGAAATTAACTGTATTAATGAATGTACATATTTCAATTTTTAGTGTAGTTTTAGTGATCTAGTGTTTAGTTTTTGTGTGTGTAATAAATGCTTAAAATACGAAGAAGGTTGAATCATTTCTGAAGCGGCACATGAACACAGTGCGACATTACATGTTCTCTACTTTTCCACAACCAGAGTATTAGCTAAGTGTAGAGAAAATTCAAGAGAAGCAGGTAGGAAGCTTTCGGTTTTATTTTACTTAGTATAAATTTACTGAAACGATATATATATGTGTGTGTGAAACGAAACTAAAAATGCTTAAGAAAGCTAAAGAGAAGATTTAGTAACGCTTCTTTGTGAAATTGAAGGTATACTAACCGTTGGTTTAACAGTGGTTCAATTAAAAAGTAAAACTGAGGACAGTAAAATTTTTAAAGATAATCCAAAATTTGTAATTGGATTATTAAACTCAACAGTTGAGAAAAAAGAATCATAGAAGAAAACGAAATAAAAGCTAGGGATACACAGTTAGCCTTTAAAAGCTCAGAGTGCTGAACTAGATAAATGAAAATTAGCTCAGCTAGAGAAAAAATTAAGTAGGAACATGGTTAAAGATTGATCTTACGTGGATAAAGATATCAATACAGGTTGAGGAAATTATTTGGAAAATCTAATAAAAAGTGTTAAAACATTATCCATTCCTGTCCCGGGAAGATCATAAAACTTTAATTTTTTTTTCAAACATTGGAGCATTCGTTACTAAAACTCAGGAACTCAAATTCGAAATTTTGTTTAACATTTTAGGTATTAAGGCAACTAATATATTATTTTACATTAATGATGAAGAACTAAAATGTTTTGAAACCATTAGAAAAGTAGTATTACAAGAATATCAACCAACTACTTATGAATGTTTATAGAATTTTCAAGAGCATGATGCGATTCCAAAGAGTCACATTTTTAGTCCGCATCTGGACTATCTGCAAACTTACA